TTTCCCTATTCGGCCGACATTACAACGGGCTGTTTTATCGATTAACGTTTATTGACAAGGAAACGTCCGTCGCTCGAAACCTGTCGATAGATAAGCGCGCAATGCACCGGAAAGTATCGAGGTGGGCTGCGCAGCATTGTAACGGACGCAATAAAATGTTTACCCTCCACGGGTTCAATTTTTCCTCGGTTCATCCCCTATCCATCCCGATCTGCATATCGCGGCGTACGTATGTCATAAATCGGTTGTACGGAATCGAAACGTGTAACGATCGAGCCATAGACGACCGTTTTAATTACAATCATTAATTGCACGATATATTTTGCGTGACAGTTAATGCAGCGAATTTGGTCCATGCAAAATATTTAATTTATAAAATACCCTCTAACGAGATCGTCTTTGTTCTTTGTTACAGCCCACGAAGCTGAACGTTTACAAAAACGACGCGGAAAGCTGGGATTACACGACGCCGACACTGGGTGAGTTTTACATCGTTTCTTAACATTTTTATATATTTTACGTTTTTTATTTATACCTTTTTTACATTGATGTATACTGAGGAGCCTGGGTACGTTGTGCTCTGTGGATTTGTATCGCTCGAGGGGAATACGGTGAAATTCTCCTTCCAAATCGCTTAGATCTACACCACTGTCCAAAAGAATACAAAGATTTTAGTGTGTTCTGTTAATTTTGACAAAGGTTCTTGTCCCTAATTCGTGTACTTCACTATGTTCCACGCGATTGCGTACACGAAAATTTATAATATATAGTAATTTTATGAGCCATCGAGTCATTTTCTAAAATAAACAACGCTATAAAATTAGGATTTCAAAGTAATATTGTTTAATGGTTATAAATGTTGAACACATACGACGGTAAATAGAAAAAAAAACGTCGCGAAGTTTCTAATCTCTCCGAAATACCCGATTTTCCGGGAACTCGGTGCTACGACCTGATACATATTTATAAACGTAACTATGTGACTTGATATTCAGAGGAGAGGGCTTGTACAGTTCCAGAGGAATCATATAAACGCTAAGAAATTTAAATGAAATTTGAATTTTAAAGTTGCACGCCCGATGATCAGAAACTTTTGGACGGCAATGTACCATCAAATATCTCATCTGTTCGCGAAGGGGAGAAGGTCGCCACGAGGGTGGAAGGGAGAAGCCATATTCCCCTCGAACGACTCGAGTCCGTCTGGCAAAGTGTACTTTACGGACGCGTTCCTTCGCTCGGCTGTTCCTAGTCGTTTGGTGTCGCACTCGCCAAGGGCTGCGCGTAACGCGCATATAATACACGAAACATCACTCGACGCACCACAATGGTCTAGAAATGAAAATTTAACAGCTTATACGTTTATTTAGATCAAACAGAAATTTTTGAACTTATAATTTTATTTATTTAAGAGGGGATAAATGAACAAGTTTCTCATCAACTTTGGAGATCCTCTTCGATGAAGTCATCATTCACTAACACAGTGTTCTCAACATCTTCATGAAAGCATGAAACTTGAGGGAATTTTTTTTTTCTATTCTTGACTAACAAGGGAACTTTGATACCTGGAAAATCCCAAAACTTTGCAAAACTTCGCAGATTTGTAAGGGACCTCGATAAAAGTGTCAGGTGATTTCTCGTTTCTACTGATATTCGGTTATTGAGGGTGAAACCACCCCTTGCAAATTAATGTCTTGTTTTCCTATTTTCCTGTACCCCTTAAAGATTATAATAGATATAGAGAAACTGTTACAATAAAAATGTAATAGCTCTTTATGCTTCATAAAAGTGTGTAATGAAATTATTAAAAATTTGTTTGCTTATTATTCGTTCAAAAAACAAGTTTTTAACAATTTTATTACATAGTTTTATACAGCATAAGAAGCCATTAAATTTTCATTTTCACAATTTTTTGATATCTATTCTGGTTTCCAAGATACAAAGGCAAGTATGAAAACACACATTAATCTTTCAAGGGGGCAGTTTTACCCCGAAGAACCGAATATCAGTAAAGACGAAAAATTGATCGATGTTGCTATCGAAGTCCTCTACAAATTTGTGAACTTTTAAAAAAACTCGTAAATACCAAAGTTCCCGTGTAAGTTTTATAAAACGACAGATGAAAAAAAAACCTTCCATGGTTAATAAGTTGACATAAGTTTATTTCTTCTTAAAGTGAAAAAAAAATTGTTTCTGACCATTCGAGCTTCTAAATTGTCATTCTGGACCACTGTGCTCACCCAGGAATCGTTCTCCCCGTTTCGCGCCTCTGCTCCCAGCCGTCTCCTAATTTCACGGCGTTTCGAGCGGCCTCTTTTTTTTTTCCTCGCTCCCCCATTTCGTCTTCTTAACTCGAGCTTCCTGCTCGCCGAGGAGACGCTAATTAGATAAAACGTAGTCCGGGTTGCGAGCTTGAAGGGTTTCCGTAAAACGCATCCCTCGTTAAGCTCGCGTACGCTTGGCGAAGATACACGGCGGGGGAAACGTCGGGAGCGTTGATCGAGCCACGCCTGGGAAACTGTTTGGAAATTGAAAGAAACACGGTCCTGCAATTAGTGCAAAGTGTTTCGTTCTTAGACGGAGCTGATTGCAAGAGTGTTTCGTTCCATCTGAGGTCCGGGAGCGTCTCTGTTGATCAATTTGTTACTTTGTAGACGGTGGTGCACTGATTTTTATGGGTCGACTTGTAGACACTGAGTCTTAATTGACATTCATTTACTGTATTTGTGGTTCTATTGATAGTTCTATTGTTGGTTTCATTGATGGTTCTATTGTTGGTTTCATTGATGGTTCTATTGTTGGTTTCATTGATGGTTCTATTGTTGGTTTCATTGATGGTTCTATTGTTGGTTTTTTTTATTATTCTTTGATGGTACTTCTGATGATTCTATTAATAGATTTATTAAAAGTTCTAGTGATGCTTCTGTTAACTGTTCTATTGATGGTTGTGTTGGTGGCTCCATTGATGGTTCCATTGATAGTTCCATTGATGATTCTACTGATGATTCCTTTAATGGTTCTATCAATGGTTCTATTGGTGATTCTATTGATAGTTCTGCTGATGATTCTATTATATTAATAGATTTATTAATACTTCTATGGATGCTTCTTTTAATAGTTCTGTCGATGGTTGAATTGATGATTGTATTGATGGTTAAAAGTGATAAAAAAAGCTCGGTAAAGTTTTAAACAATCGTGCGTACTGAAAGTGCATAAAATCCACAGTCTTATAATTTTTATAGTGTTTAATATTCCTTTGTTTGATGTATCGAACTGGTAGGAAAGGTAATACCTTCTCGTATCACTTTAATCCATCTTTGCTTGTGGTAAAGTTTCAGGTAACATGTCCTTCGTCATTGCATAATTTTTGTTATAGAATACCTCAGCTGTGCAAATGTTTTCTCTATCCACAGTAGGTCTGTGAAAATCAATTTTATCAGACGCCACACACACACACACACACACGTATATTTCAATGTCTACAGGCAAACAAAACGTGAGAGAGAGAGACGTCCATTAGATCGATTTAGTATACAATCCACTCTACTCGTAGAATACATAAAAACTATAAGTAAAAACTATATACAGTGATTCGATCGACGTTCTCGATACGTAACGGGGTGTGGAAGCGTCGTTAAAATTAATTCACGTGTCCCCGGAGAGGATTTCGTTGTTTTTTGCCATCAATTGTCCGGCAATTAAATATCGTAGAGGTGTCTTCGGGCGGAGGAACGATCCCACGGAGAGCGATTCCAACGCGTCGGTACAAAGCATTCTTGCGCATCGCTACTCGCATCGATTCATCGAGTATTAAATTGCGAAATAGATGAACTACATAAAAAAAAATACAATCTGCGCGACGAGACATCTGGGTTGGAAGCGACACACACCCAGAAGAGTACCTACACGCTTCGCTGGAAGCTATCTCGCTCGAGGGATGCACGTGAAACTCTGCAATAAACTAGAAAAAAAAAACAGCGTCGTCGCCACGTGTCACGAGTCCCATCAACGCATGCGATCCATTTGTAGGCAGAAATGATAAAGGCTGATCTACCGTGGCGTCGCACAGTGTTTTAACTCTTTATCACTCAGAGCCTTAAATCATTATTTGAAAATTATGGGACTAATACATAGGTTGTATCTTGTTATTTAGAAGTCGAAAATATTAATATTAAACAAAAACATTGCTTTCATTATGTTCTTGTTTTATTTATTGTTGGAGGGAATATAAGAATTTCTCACCTGAATACGTGGAGATCTACTACCCATCGGTGAGACTATGGATCCTTGATCCTTAAACTGGGAGTTAAAGGGTTAAAAACGACTGTCTGACCGCGATAAACCGGTGGCCGACGCGATGTGGGCTGAAAGTTCTCCATCGTTGTCAAACATAGTGGTGAATGTGTTAAAACAGTAACCAAATCATTTAACTTAAAAAAAAAAACTGGTGTCTTCATCGCGTCGTAATAAAAAGAACACACAAATTGATTAACAATATATTTATCGTTGGTCCGTTAATCACTGCACGAGCGCGCCTCTTGTTTTTCACATTTGCTCTGTAATCTTGACCACGTGTTTGATTCGATTATTATGGGACAAAGAGCAGTTCTCGACATAGCGACGATTCTGTATTAATCCTGTACACAGACATTATCTACAGACATGTCTTCGTATGCAGGGTGAGCTATTTAAGTCGATCCCCTCGTGTATCTTGAAAACCGTTGACGATACCGCAAAATGTTCCAAAGAAAGATTGAATGTTGTGAATATCAACTGTTAAATGGTATTATTCACCCTTGGACTGCGAACAGCGCTTTTAGTTGCTTTCCATCCATCGTACGTTTTTTCTCCAAAAATTATAGTTTCTACATTTTATAAAACTTTTACAAACAATTAAATTGTCTTTACAAACAATTGATTGTCTTGCTTCCTAGTGGTTCGCGGACTAACAAATATTTTTGCATACATATTACCTTATTTAACCTTCAGACTGTCGATATTTTTTCATTAAAAAGTGGTCTTTTTGGTCAGAAATTTATATATATATACAGAGTGAGTCAATAAGAACTACTATCTAGAATAACTCGTTATCTATTGGTTCTATCAGAAAATGTTTCAATAAGTTATGTAGCATTTTAAGGCACGCATCGCGTGGTTAAACTTTGATTTTTTTATATCTTATTTTTTCGAGACATCAAGGTGACCTTGAGTTTTTTCGAGGTCAATGTATTTTTTTTAATACAATTATGTTATATAGGTCGCTAAATTCGCCCTTGTATTAGAAACAACGTAGTATTAAAAACGAGATCTAAAAAAAAATTAAGATATAAAAAAATGAGTTCATATTTATCCGATGCATCCCTTAAAATGCTACATAATTCATTAAAATGTTTTCTGATACAACCAATAGATAACGAGTTATTTTAAATAATAGTTCTCATTGACCCACTTATTGGTCCAAAAAAAAATGTCAACGGTCTAA